TTCCAACTCGCAATATCGATTCCAAAAATTCGATGCAAGTAAAATCGAACTACTCTCGTAGTGTAGACAAGGCCTAAGGTGCCACAAGTACTCCTGTTCTTTTTGAGGATACAGACTAACATGACTGCTACTTTGAAACCTGACTCTTCATTCTTACTCTTTCCCCCCATCTGTTAACCAGTTACTGATCCATGAGAGGACCTTCCCTCTTATCCCATGACCTAATGAGGTTAATTTGAGTAATATGTTACATACCACAGTTAGTAGTTCTGCAATTTTATATTTAAGTTCTCTCACAACTCTTTTATGAATACCATCTGTTTCTGGTGACGTATTACTGTTAATTTATCAGTTTGATCCAAAACTTCTTCTACTGTTCTGTGATGACATATACACAATCAATATGGGAATAGTTGAAATCCCCCATTATTACTGGGTTTTCTGCTTTTATAACTTCTCTAATCAACCTGAGAATTTCACAATCACCATAACCATCCTGGTCAGATGGTAGGTATATTCCTAGTGCTATACTCTCATTACACAAGCATGTGATTTCCATCCATAGCGATTGAGTCATTTAAGGTTTTACAACTTTTAACTCAATGCTTCCTTTCACATTTAGTGCCACTCCCCCACCAGCACGACTCTACTCTGTCATTCCTATATATTTTGAACCCTAGAATTACTGTGACCCATTGATTACAATTGTTCTACTAAGTTTCTATTATGCCTTTTATATCAATATATTCATTTAATACCAGGCAGTCAAGTTTATCCCATTTTGGTATTAAGACTTCCACTATTTGCATATAAGCACTTAAAAAAAATGTCAATATCTAGTGGTCTGCCTTCATGTGATATAACTGAGTGGGTCTCTTTTTCATTTGACTGTTTCTCTTCAGGTTCCTTCCTGTACTTTATCAGCTTCTGTCCTTTCTCTTTACTTCAATATAGAGTATCCCCCTAATAAGCCAACCCCTAACGGATGTCTCTGTCCAAAATGTGTGCTTGTGTGTACCTATTGGCTTTACTCCAGCCATTAATTTAAAAACTCTATTATGACCTTTTATAATTTACATTCAAGGACTCTGGTTCCATTTTGGTTTAGGTGGAGCCCATCCTTCCTGCATAGGATCCTCTATTCCCAAAGGTTCCCCAGTTCTTAATAAACGCAAATCTCTTCTCTGAACACCACCATCTCATCCACACATTGTGACCCTGCAGTTCTGCTGGTCTAACTGGCCTTGCATATGGAATAGGTTTCAAGGTAGTTGCTCAGGTTCAGTGACTACAGCAGGTCACTTTGATCCACACACTTACTCTGATATCAGGTTACCTACAAACACTAACTTGCAACAGAATAACAGCACTGTTGCACATGTACAAATAACTCTGGAGCATAACCTTGGCTCTAGCCACAGTGTACACCCAACCTTTACCTGGAATGACTTTTTAAATATTGCTTCCCCACAAGGACAGCAGGTGCCAGACACTAGCTGAGATCAGTCCTGGGTAGGTGATGTCAGTGTGAAGAAGATCAGCATAATAGTTTGAGCTCCAGGTTTGTGCAAAAAATGTGTTATAAGAACCAAAACATTTTGATGTCACATGATTATTTTAGCGGGGGCTGTATCTTGCTTGCATAACCTCACATTTAGACCATTAACTTGACATGATCACAGGATGAAAATTGTGTTTTGTGGCACCTTTTGAGGTTTAACAATTTGTTTTCATTCCACCTTGGAACAAATCCAAAACTTTAAAAATATTTTTATGAAATGTAATTGGTTCAAAATGTCTGGTTTTGGACCACAACCAGATCTTGTTGATAATGGTTTGAGATATGGGAGACTCAGTTTTAAGTGCCTGTTCTGCCTGTTTCTGAGCAGAATCCTTCATCCCAGATCAGTCTGAGCCTTATAGAGACTTGGACCTAGATTTCTTACATCCCAGGCTAGTACCGTAACCACCAAGCTATAGAGTGTGAGAGACTCTTTCTCTCTCTTCTCTCGCATTCCCAACAAATACTTAATCAAAATCAGAATATCGCTATGAAATTCTTCAGCTTTCGTGAAATTAAATTTCAATGAAAATGTTCCAACCAGCTCTACCACTAATCTTACCCCCAGATGCCCATGGGATACATTGATTTTCAAGACAAACCACGTAAGCGGGTGGATTTTATACCATTTAGAAAAATCATCTGTAAAACAGTCAGCTGGTCTCAACCTTAACCAATATTGTACTACCATCCTTGTAACCAAAAGATTGTGTTAGGTGAGATGACCGTATTACATAAAAATAGGAGACTTCTTATATTGAACATTTATTGCAGATACATAAAAGGACCTAATTCTTATTTACACTAAGATCTCTTTGCACTACCCTGGTGATGTAAAAGGACTTTAGAGTACATGTAAATTATATTAAGTCAGAGGGGCATAACAGCAAAGTAAATGGTCCTGTATTACAAATGAGAATTAGGCCCAAAAGATTTTATGTACTTGGTTTAAGAATATATCAGGGGTTATAGATACATAGATTCCAAGGCCAGAAGGAACCATTGTGATCATCTAGTCTGACCTCTGCATAAAACAGCCATAGAACATCCCCAAAATAGTTCCAAATGTGATGTTGATCGACACATATCTTTTCACAAATGTGATCACTGCAAAGAGATTCATCAGATTCATTTACATTTGGAAATCTAGGAGGGACCGATTCAAAATTGAAATTACAGAAACATAAGCTCTGATTGTACAATCAGAGTGTGCGGGGAAGTTGTGAGCTGGAATAAGTGACAGTTAATAACAGAGACAGTCTGTTTTTGGACTCTTGTTGATGCAGTTCCCTGCAGGGCCTTATTTACTAAGAAGTCACTGGCTGATCTTAGATTGTCACTTCCCTACTGACAACAGAGCATATGCTTCTTGGTGGAAAATCACAAGTAAATGTGGCTGATTTAAACAGCAATAAGTTAATCATAATCCTCAATTAAAATTCCATATCAATTTACCTGTAGCATTGTGAAAAACAAAAAGGAAAGAATATAAGAATTAAATTAAGGGTCAGGGAAATCATAGCATTTTTTTGGCATGAAACTAAATTCCTAGCCACAAAAGCATATGCGGTATCTACACTTGCTTCTTTAGAAGTGAGACATCATACTTCCACAGTAGTTACTTTGAAAGAGCTGTGAAAAAGTAATTAATGAATTTTGAGCACTTCACCCTTTGGGCCCAATTAAATTTTAGTGCTAGTTAATTAGTAGTTAAACTTATTTCAGTTCATTCATCTAGAAAGTGCCTTACAGAAAAGGACACCAGATCTAGAGATTACAATTATTTCTGTTTTTTAAAAAAAGACAAATAAATTAATAATAATAATAATAATAATTAATAATAATAATAAATAAAAATAAATAAGCAGAGAGGGAGATCTTATTAAGAAAATTATCTTAATGCACAATTTTAAAAGAGGTTGAAAAATAATTGCTCTTTGTGCTAAAGCTACATTAATCTAATGAACCATGCAGGTTCCTATAGCTTCTCAGTGGTAAAAGGATTTAGTATTAATCTGCTTCATTAAAAATTAATGAGGGGTAAATCACCTGCTACTTAGTGTAATAGAAAATCATGCTAAATACTGTTTGTAAACTGCATTGCACTCAGTATGGCTGCTTCCATACAGTGCCAAAAATAGCATAAGCAAATTGCCAGATGTTGATAAATGAGTCCTTAGCTTTCATTCAGAAGATAAAAGGGAAATTTAAAGTCTCATGTCAACATCTACTGTGTGTGATTTTACTTTTAATTGCATAATGAATTTGGTGTTGAGGAAGGTGAAGGACTTATATTGTAGCACTGGTAAAAACCTGGCATATGTAGGGCTCCGATCCTCCAATGATCTTCCTGTTTGTAAGATTAGGTCCATAATAAGGGCAAATGTGCAGAGATCTGACAAACCTTTTTGCCAGTGCACTTTCCCTCCTGCTTCTGAGCACAGACTTCCAAATCTCTGGAGGTGATTGCTCTGTCCATGGCCAGATTTATGTGATGCAAACAGTTGTTAGTCAACTTGTTAAGTCAAAGCATTGCACTTTATGTTACTGTATCTCCCACAGAACGTACCTGGCCAACAGACAAAGGCTCTGTTAAAATCTGTTCTTCCAGCACAAAAAACTGGCTCCATACCCAGCCACGTTTCACTCTCTGAAGTGTTGCAAAAGGTTGGTTCATTTTTTGGATGTTATGGTTCTGCATACTTGGAAGGCAAGGCCATAGCTGACCAAGTGTTAGCAGAAGAGATAGCCAAGTATAACAATTCATACTGAAACCTCCTTTCAATCAATATTCATCTGTGGAAGGGAAAAAAAAGAAAAGCTTTTACAAAGTAGCACTTCCCCAGCCCCTTACAAATATTGATTCTATGTTAATCTAACAGATCATTTTTACTATTAAAAATCCCTCCTATTCCCAAAAGAGAAGAACCAGAACAAAGTCAACTTCTAATTAAAAAAGAGAAGTATTTTATTAGGGATTCAAAGGTATAAAAGTCAAGCATTCAATTTTCTGTTTATGAAATCCCTTCAGAGGGACCTTCTATACAAAATAGAAAATCATCCTTCAATTAATTCATCCTCCAAATTAAGCTGGATAATAGTATTGTGTAGACCGGCAATCATTTGATTGGTATAATTGTACATTTCTGCTTAGACAAGGCTCATTTTGAGCTGCAGTCACAGAACTGCCTGAAGGGTGAATAAGTAGCCTCCGTGATCCTAATGACTGACAGCTAAAATGGAGGAGTGCATACAATTGTTTTTAACCTCCTCATTCCCTCCCTCCTATCACAACAAAATCACCCTGCTGAAAATGCCGAAGGAGCTAGCGTGGTAAGAAGAAGCAGCTAAAATGTGCACATCTCTTCTTTCCTGATCAATAGAAATTAACTGTCTCATCTGATTCTATCTCCTCTGACATTTCATGTTTTCAATTAAACAGACAAAAGGAAAATACAGCCTAGAAGCCCTTGCGTTCTACCAGTCAGTTTAACTGATCACACAAATTATTCTTTAGGTAAGCCAAGTCTTTGCACAAGATGTATGCTATTATCATTTGTTGTGAGTGGTTCCTGCATTGACAGAATTAACAGAACAGTCAGTTTGAAATAAAGTGCAATGCTTGACTGAGAATGGCCATCCTTTATGAGGTGAAATAAAGGATTCTGTAATACTTGGCCACACACACACGTGTTAAAACCTTACTCGGAAATCCAGTCTCTGGGGATGATGGGGTTATCTAGGTATGAGAAAACATTGTTTTATGAGTTGACTCCATGTCAGTCCGCTCTTAGAATATAAGGGAGGTTGCCAGCACTGCAGACAAATCTGGCTATACATCCAAATTTTAACCATGAACTGTCATGTATCCTTACCTACCCAGGCACAACATCTATTCACCTACCCTTCACCATGATGATATTAATAACAATAGTAATGAATACCAACACAGACTAAAGACACTTGGCCTGGCACATACTTGCCCTGGAGGAATGGAATCTCACAAGGCTGCATTACTTGGAGAGAAACTGTAACGTCTCTCACTTATAATGCAAAGTGTCATATACTCATTTTTAGGTGGGTGTAAAGGAATTTAAGTTGAAGAAATTTACATGCTGAGGGACAAGAAGAAAAGAAAAAGTGCTAATAGGAGGGTATCAAGAGTTGTATGTTTCAGCTTTTAAATTTGTACACATTCTTCTGTTTCTTCCATATTAAAGCTGTAGTATCATAGGGGAGATTTTGAAAGGAAGGAATTGAAGTTAGGGGTTCCATTGCCATCAACTTTCAGTGGGAGTTGGATGCCTACCCACTCTGTACATTTGAAAATCTCCCCCTTATATTCCTTAACACTCACTAAGGATTAATTTCATGACATGTGAGAAGGCCAGAGAAAGGTACACTTTAGCTCTGAAAATAAAGCTACAGAGGAATTAAATCGTGCATAGGCCTTGGGCTGTTCTTCTTCACAGAGGGTGAATTTCACCCTTAGTGATGTGTGACTTACAATATCTCTCAAAGAAGCCATTGGAATCTGACATATACAGTTCATTGTATTGTATTTCATAGCAAAGGGAAAACACGCTGAACAAAATCAAAACCAAGTGGCCTTTTCAGATAATTCCTAAAGAAAATTATTTCAATCATGACGTAAATCAACTGACAGGTGTTCAGCTTGGGCTTAGGCTACTTCTGGCTTAGCCTGCTTCTGGCTACACATTAGCTTGTGTTTCAACCATCTATTCTGATGCTACCCACCTTACCCATCCAGTTTAATAGACTCCTTCAAGCATTTTATAAACTAGTATTTCAAGCAGAAGGAAACAGAAGCTTGTTAGTAAACTCATCTGACAAACACTGTATGTATACACATCAACTTAATAACAATACAGAATAAGACTATGTTGCTCTCCTATTGCTCACCCATTAAGAATGCACTCAACAGCTAGCCATCAATGACAGACAATTGAAAGAATATAATTAATACATTTCTCCTGTATTTCTTATTTGTGATGATGGCTATGATACTCATGGCATAGTATCATATCTACAGTATGCTGCAGTTACTTCCATTGAAAACCTCCAATTTAAGGGGGAAAAAAAATGTTCTTGGTTTCAGGTGTTGCATACTGTTCACTAAATATGTAAAAAATATTAGTCCAGTTTCAAAAAACAAACTAAGGAAATGAAAAAAAAATATTGTGAGATTTTTGAGGGTGAGTGGTTGTAGTTTTTAAACTACAGTGATCCTCTTTTTTGAGGAAAAAAAAGAAACAGAAGCCAATTTATTGTCAAGTGGGGGTTGTATTTGGGAAGGGGTTGGGTGGATAAGCAAAAGGGCTGGCACATGGAGCCACATGGAGCAAGAGAGAAACAGGGACCAGATTGTGCATCTCAACTTAATAGTCTGGTCTCTGCCCTACTCTTCAGACAATACAGCTACATGTTGCCCCGTACTTGGGTTGGATTGCACTGTTACATTGACAAGAATAATAGGAATATCAACTGCAATAATACTAGACAGGCTAAAAAATTGTAGGGGCCCATGATGATTAACTTGCTATGGATTAGGAAGAAATTTGCCCCACGGACAACATATTGCACAGTAGTCATATTCCTGGGGTTTGTGACACAGAGACTCCTTAGCAAAGGGTCCCCCTTCTTTGGAAACAAGTCTAATGTCAGATCTGACAAACTCACTACACCAAACTTTCACTACCCTAAACACGTCTTACAGGATATGTATTATATAGAGTAATGCAGAGGTTCCCTAACTATTCTTATTGCATGCACCCTTCCAGAGCTAGCAGCTGCCTGCATACCCTTACCCTTCTCATGACTGATACTTTGTGTGTTCTTAACACTAACTGTCTTTAGCCAACTGTCCATATTTCACTGTTACGTACAGATATAGTTATAGTGCAACACATACAACCAAAAAGAAAACCCTAAGTTCTGAGCTCAGTTACACTGAACAGTTGCTGGGCAACTAAACCCACGCTGTACAGTGATTGGAGGTGAGGGCTCTGTATGTCAGCGTCTCTGTGTAACTGTTCTCATTGGTATATCTTGAAGTAAATAATGTACTGTATTTTATATAACAAATGCCCAAAGTGTTATAAAGCTTATGAAAATTATGAAAATTCAATAAAGAAAGAAATTAATACATAGAATTCACCATTACACAATTTATCCCACGTGCCCCCAGAGATGTCTTGCATACTCCCAAGGGTACACCTACCACAGTTTGGGAACCCCAATGTAATGTATATATAGAAATCTCATAACTTGTCACGATTCCTAACAATTGTGAAATACATATATGGGTATTATTTAAGTATTTATATTGAAAGGACTTGGAGTAAAAAACAGTAACCAGGGCATAAAGTGTCTCAGTGATGACCCATTCAGGCAGAAGGGAGTTGTTACCCACTATGGTTACCTGGTGATGCATTGCAAGGCTCATTTGTTTCGCCTTGCACAATACTAAAACTTTCAATGGAAAACCATCAGAGGGAACTGCAAACAATCAAAACAACTTAAAGTTAAAAAAAAGGAATTTTTACAACAAGACAGGGGTTTGTTCTGTCTATAAATAGAAACAAAAGACTGTTTCAGTAAAACACAGAGAAGGGAAAGGACCTCTGGATCTATTTACTAAGGCCGTGTTTCCCAAACTTGGGATGCTGCTTGTTTAGGGAAAGCCCCTGGCAGGCTGGGCCAGTTTGTTTATCTGCCACATCCACAGGTCCGGCCGATCGCAGCTCCCATTGGCTGCTGTTCGCTGCTCCAGGCCAATGGGAGCTGCTGGAAGTGGCACGGGCCGAGGGATGTGCTGGCCACCGCTTCCAGCAGCTCCCATTGGCCTGGAGCAGCGAACCGCAGCCACTGGGAGCCGCGATCGGCCAAACCTGTGGACGCGGCAGGTAAACAAACCAGCCCGGTCCCCCAGGGGGTCTCCCTAATCAAGCGGCGTCACAAGTTTGGGAAACACTATTTTATATAATAAGCTAGTGATAATTTTAGTATATTAAAATATAAGCTGTTATATGTTTCTTTGAAAAAAGATTACCTCTGCAAATGTGCTACTGTATACCACCAGCTACTTAGGATTCAACCAGTAAGGATGGAATTTATTTGAAATGTTATCTTCATTATTTCTGTAATTCCCAATGGAGGACTCATATATAGATCAAACTATATAATTGATGTGTATGGTTTGTTGTTTTTCTTTGTAACTTGTTTTTTGAAGGAAAAAAAACACATTTGTGCAATAATAGGTGTGAAATTATTAATTCTCTTCCTGTGTGCCAAGTGGTGGACACCCTACTAGATGGCCAAAAAGCCACAATCCCATAAAAGGTCATACTGGTTAAAAACTGACCTGGTTTAGTGGAAAAAATTAAGACAGTGCATTCTCTCTCTCTCTCTCTCTCTCTCTCTCTC